CTTTAAAAAAAAAAAAAAAAATCCCAACGAAGTCAATTAATTATGTGATCTAGTATTTTAGAATATATTACTTGTGTGCATAAATAAAGAGAAAATTGACCAATAATTAGTCACATTAATGACTATTTGTATACTTAAAAATATATTTGGGTGTTTGATGATTATTTGTTAGCTGATAGTTAATTGAGTTAGTTGTTTTATCTAGTTAGTAGTATCAATGATTTATAAAAAAAGATGTTTGGTAAATTTACTATTTACTATAGAGTAACCATTTGGTGTCAAAAAAAAAAAAAAAAAAAATTACTTCAAGTAACTTTTTAAAAGGAAATATAATAATTTAGTTTATTGATATTGATAAGTTAAATCAACAAAATTATTTACATAACACTCATTTTAGTTATTTGACCATGTCAAAGAGTTAAAATTGATTAAATAAAACAAAAGTTAATTGATTGCTAACTGTTTTTCAAACACACCAATTATAAACCAAATGTGTAACTTTTACACGTAAGTAACAGAGTGAGGATAAAAATAATCACTTTTGTGAATAAATATTAATTAAATAACGATCAATTTTAGAACTCATAATAATTAAGAAGTATAAACAAAATTTACAATCACCTTATAATTTGAACTAGAAATGCATGCAATTTTTTCTTATAGTAAAGGGATCCAAATTGAATTATGATACTAGTCACTTTTTTTATTTTTTTTAGGGATCAGTCATGCTGCTTTCATCTTTGAAAATATATATGTAACTTTTTCAAGTGATTATATTGATCATAAGAATAAACATAACTATTTTTATGACTAATTAAGGATCACATTTACAAGTACTAATAATTAAAGATTAAATTAACACTGATTTTATGAGTTAAAAATGTAATTTTTGGGAAAGAAAAAAATGTAATTTTATTTTTCTTAAAGAAATTTATAGTTGTGTATTACACATTTAAACTTTACATACATCAACACACCTAGACTTTGATGGACTTAATCAACACATCTCATTTTGACTCTCTATGGCATGTTTGGTTCATGGAATAGGTCGGGAATGGAATAACATTCCTTGGAATAGATCTATTCCATCGTTTAGTTGGATCATTTTGTCATGGGAATAGCATGCCTAGGAATGAGCTATTACCTTCGCAAGGGTAATAGCCATTCCTAGGGGGGCCTTGGTATTAGCTATTCCCATGCCCTTGGGAATAGCTTTTATATCACAAATACCAAAAATACCCTTTGCACATTATATAATATTTATATTTATTTAATAAATATAATGTATTATATAAATGTATATATTTAATTAATTATAATTTTTATATATCCATATATATATATATATATATATATATATATATATATATATATATATATATATAACATTCAATATATCATAATCATATTCATTATTATTATTATTGTTGTTATTGTTGTTATTATTATTATTATTATTATTATTATTATTTATTATTATTATTATTATTATTTCTATAAGGGTATTTATGTCTTTAAAACCTATTCCATTTCTATTCCTTTAACCAACCAAACACTGGAATACAATTACTAAAGTCTATTCCTCTAGCTAACCAAACAACAGAATACAATTCCTATTTTATTCCTTACCTATTCCATTCCTTGTGGAATAACATTCCTATTCCCTCCAAATTCATTCCGTGAACCAAACGTGCTACTAATGTAATCATACAATAAAATAAATAAATAAATAATAATAATAATAATAATAATAATAATAATAATAATAATGTTTTAGTGTTTTACCATATCAGACTTATCCATATTATATAACATAACTAAAAATATATCCAAGCCAATAACCTATTAAGTTCACTTAAAATTAAGTTGAGATAATATTAATGTTTTTTAGTAAATATTTAAAATATTTTTGGATATATTCATTTGAGTTAAATGTAAATATATACTTTTTACTTGGCAAAAACTTGTGTGAGACTGTCTCATGTACATCCATGAGACGGGTCGGGTCAAGATAAAATATAATACTTATACTATCAAATGTATTACTAAATCAGGAATAAAATGTTTATTATTCATATGAGAAAATGTAATACTTTTGAGAAAAAATATTAAATAAAACATTTGTCCTTAAAAGTATTATGTTTTCTGTAAAAAAAAAAATAAAATTAATTCTTGATTTAGTATTACATTTGCTAGTATAAATATTACATTTACATATTAACCTGACCCAATCCGACCCGTCTCACGGATAAAGATCCATGAGATGGTCTCACACAAGTGTGACCCTTTCTATTTTGAAGTTTAATATATGTGAAGTTTTAATATCAGATATCTGGATCTAACTTATATTACGATATAACATAACTAAAAATATCTGAACCAATAATATATTGAGTTCAATCAAAATCTAAAAATTAGTGTAGAGTTCAAATTTTAATTGTGATAATGTGAATAATGTCTACCTTTAAGCTTAAGCAAATAAGTTATGTTTATATACGTAAATGCAAGTAGAAAAGATAGAAAATGATGATAAATAAAAGAAAATGATAATTAATGTAATCAATGTAATAAATAAATATGTACTCTGATTCGTAAGTTGATAATGGTAAAAATGTGGTTGTAGTGATATATAGCCAAAATAGATATTATTTATTTAGAAAATATTTTTCATTTAGAAAATAGTTTTTAAGAATTCTCAAGTTTTCTAAAAAATTGAAAAATATTTTTAATTTTCAAAATCAAAAATGTTAGTAATCAAGTTTTCTATTTTTTGTTCTCCAATAAAAAAATTGGAGAAATTTTTCAATTGATAAGCAGCTCGGCCTTAAATTTTAATTTACATCCATCACTCAACACATGGCAAATTCTTGCGTGGACCATGGTCCATACAGTGTTGTATGCACCATAACAAAAAGTACATTTTTAATATAATAAATGTACATTATTTTTTTACTGAATGTATATTATACAATATAATGTACACTCAATATACAAATAATGTACATCCCCTAAATATAATGTACATTATTTTTATATTGAATGTACATTATTTTTATACTGAATGTACATTATTGTACAGTATACAAAATATGATCTACACAATTTGTATGGACCATGGTCCATACAATAATGATTGCTCAACACATCTACACTTCGTGGACATACTCAACACATCTCATTTTGAATTTCTGACATAATCATACAATAATAAATAATAATAATAATAATAATAATAATAATAATAATTAATAATAACACGGAATAATGTTTTAGTGTTTGGACTATGACCTTTGAAACCTTCAATGACAAACTAACAAACAAAGAAAAAAAAGTAACAAACAAAACAAAATACCCAGCCATCCCGTGGCGTGACCTCCCTCTATAAATACTTGTCTTGTAACACATTTTGCCAGAAGAAAACAGCTACAGCAAAAATGAGGAACTGATCGAGTGATCGTTATCAAGGACAAGTTAGAAATTCGATGGAGGGGGGGCGAAGAAATAGAGACGGATTCAGAAAATTTTTTCAGTAAAGGCGAAACATTAAAACAAAAGATATAATTTAAAAAATAAATAAATAAATTACCTAAGAAATATAGTTATAAATATTATTGGATATAGACGAAAAATAAAACACATCAAAACTTTATAAAAATATTCATAACAAAATATGAAACATAATTAATTTGATAAAATAATTTGAATAGAAAACACATTATTAGTTACACTTCTCATTATTAATATAAAAGAATGTTATATATATATATATATATATATATATATATATATATATATATATATATATATATATATCAGTGTGTGTGTGTATTAAAGGCAGAAAGGCTGAAGAAGAGAGAGATGTACTTCCCAATGAGAAAATATATATGCTATTAAGGTTTAATATATTACAACTTATATAGTGAATTAGTTGTGGCTGAACATCAAGGACAGACAAAATTTTTTTCAATTTGGATATTTTCTTGAAAATTTCCTATTAGTAAAAGCCCCTTGCAATTTTGAGATTTTTGTTTCAAATATTCTTGTCCAAAGACTAAATATGTTATGAGTGTTCTTGCTTTGTGTTCAATGTGTAGTGATTATTCGATCTTTTTTATTATACTATCTGCTTATTGAACGATACCAATATACCATTCATGGTTGTTAACTTGACGCGGTGAACAGCATGTAGCAAGAATTGGTATAATTGTCTTAGAATAATACTCTTCTTTAACCTGTACACCAAATTTAAAAAATGCTGCCTCAAATAGAGTAGAAAAGTGGATGGACTTACCCAGCGGATTAAACCCGTTTTGAATTTAGTTGAGAGCTCGTTGCATAATCATGCACCCTTTTGTCAAGACACTCTTGGCCGAACTAGTTGCATAGAGTTTACTATCCTTTTAGATGAACTTGTCACATAGGGTGTAGCCACCTTGTCACATAGGGTGTAACCACATTTCTTGATTGAGCTAGTCAGTTCACATATGGTGTAGCCACCCTCCTTGGTTGAGTTAGTCGCATAGGGGTATTATAGCTACCCACTCGGTTAAACTTTTTGAAATGGTATAATCATAATCGCTCTCGCATATGGTCTAATACTCTAATACGCTAGGCCGCCCACTTAATTGAGCCCTTATCGCATAGGATCTAACTGCGCAATTTCCCAACATACTGACCGCCGTCCGCCGATAGAGCATCATCGCCATAAGTTCAACTGCAATTTTCCTCCAAAATTGACCACAGTGGGAGTCGAACCCACGACCTTTTGATCCGAAGTCAAACGCGCTAATCCACTGCGCTATGCGGTCATGTCTGTACAAAATTATGAAATAAATATACTTAAACACAATAGTGATACAACAAAAGTGTCAATCTGTTAACCAGCGAGACGAATAAATACTCCGCATATGCAACAAATGCTTTGTATTTTGTAATATAATTATAATCCACTTGATAATTAGGAAAATTCAATTTATTAATAATTTAAAAATATGAAAAAGTTAAGGGTGTGTTTGGTTGACAGGTTTAGCTCTAAGAAATGGGTATCAAAGTGATTGGTATTGTTTGGTTGATAGGTTTTTAGAACACTACTATGAGTTTCAAATATCCCCTTAATTGAAATACCCATACTCAAATAAAATAAGGGTATCATCCCCTTTCATTCCCTTATTCCTTCTCATCCCCTTTGATTAGTGCTTTAGAATTTTTTTTTTTTTTTTTTTTTGTTCATATTGGTGTTTTGTATGTCTTTATATTAGAATAAATTGTCTTGATTTTGTGTTCTTGTATTTTAAAAATATTTATTCCCATTATTGGATCATACATAATCAAACAACATTATTGATAATCATTCACATTCCATCCTACTAACAAATATGCAAAATACTTTCACTAAAAGTCATTACCATTACCAAGTATTTGATACCCATTCCGATTCCCATGTGCAAACCAAACACACCCTTAGTATATTTAATGTGAATTTTGATCCGAGAAAGTTTGTTTGAATCAATAATAAATATAATTCTTTGAAATTATAAAAAATAAATCTAAGCTAGGGTTGGTTTAATTCTCTATTTTTTTTCTGTAAATATATTTTCTGAAATTATTTAAAAAAAAAAACTAATTGACAAGAAAATATCAAATGACCAATTAAATACATTCCGTGTATATATATATATATATATATATATATATATATATATATATATATATATATATATATATTTTAAAAATAATTGATGAAAAAGTATCAAATGATCACTTAAGAAAAAAGCTTAGATGTCAATGGAATGAACATATTGATATTATTTGAAAAAAAAAGAATTATAAGCATTCTTATACATAAGTAAAATTAAAAGCATTATAATTACACTATTACGTTAGAATTTATCAAATTAACGTGAACTTACCAAGCGGCTTGTGGTTCACTGATATTGGGTTGCTCATTTATGTGAGAGGTTTAAGGTTTGAGTCTCAATGTAGGTGTAGGTTGTATATGTAGATAGGTATCCCCTTTCCTTTGTAATTTAAAAAAAAAAAAAAAAAAAAAAAAACGTGAACTTCTATAGAAGAATAGATCAATTAATGTGTTGAGAAATACTTCTACATCATTTTCCATTCTCATAAATACACCAAATTAGTTTTCAATCAACATTATAAAACACCATAACTATATTATATTTTTTCTACCTTCAAAAAAATATTATATTTTTTCTAATAAATACGGAGTATTTGATAATAGAATCACTCTACATCCTTTGGCCAAAAATATAAGTCAAAGGTTAACTTTTGCTATTTAGTTGCAACTCTTTAAGGCCACAAATTCTGATCTTTTTTTTTTTTTTTTGTTTTTTTGTTTTTTTTTTTTTTTTTTTTGTAAATATTCCAACAATGTAAACTAATTATGTGACCTAGTATTTTAGAAGATATTACTTGTATGGATAAATAAAGAGAAAATTGACCAATAATTATTCATAGAAATGACTATTTGCATACTTCAAAAATATATTCGAATGTTTGATGATTAACGGTTAGCTGATACCTAATTGTGTTAGTTGTTTTGACCAGTTGATAGTATTATTAACGGTTTGTAGGAATGTGTTTGGTAAATTAATTGTTTACTATCTGCGAGTAATCATTTGATGCCAAAAAAAATTACTCCAAGTAATTTTTTTTTTTTTTTTTAAAAATAAAATAAAATAACTTATTGACATCAATAAGCTAAGTCAGCAAAACTATTTAGGAAACACTCATTTTTAGATGTTTAACAAACGATTGATTTCTCTCTCTCTCTATCTCTCTCTCTCTCTCTCTCTCTCGTAGAGTGTTTCTTCCAGCCTGGTATTAGGATTTTTCGCTTCCTGAATTCTCTTTCTAATTTTCAGGGTACGTTTCCATCCTTTAGTCATCTACGATTGAGAAGGGTGAGCATAGTGGTATTGTAGAAGCATGCAAAGCACTTCAAATTGGTGATGACGATGATGGGGTTCTTGTTGAAGTTGAGGATATCGCACAACTAGTCTTTGATTTTCGGTTTGCGGCGATTGGTCGTGTTGTTACTGAAAAACCAGTGAAGCTAGATGGTAGTGTTCCGGGATGTCATGGATTTTGCGTGGCGTCCAAGGCGAGGAGTGCATGTTCGTGAGCTTGGTGATAGTCGTTTTTTGTTAACCTTCTACCGTGAGAATGACATTTGTTGGGTTCTGGAGGATGGTCCTTAGAACTTTGATCAGAACTTAGTGTTGATGAAGCGTTTAGGGAATGTAGACGATCCTTTGAAGGTTCGGTTGGATTATGCTTCCTTCTGGGTTCAGGTTCATAATTTGCCACCGGGATTCATGTTTGAGAGGCTTCCCACACTTATCGGTAATCATTTTGGGGTGTTTGAATCCATTGATCGACGTAACTTTAACGTTGTCTGGAAAACTTTTAAGGCAGACTTACGGATAGAAGACGAAGAATAGGAGAAATCCAAATTAAATTCATTGAAGGAATATAAGGCAGACTAAAGGGCAGCTCACTCACTTGTTCCCAATCAGCTCTAAATGGTCGGCTCAAAAGAGTCTGCCCGAGTATTATCTCTTATGCGAGCCTCGAGGATGGATCCTTCTGCATATGGCGAGCTTAGCTTCCAGTCACATGTGCCGCACAACAGATTGGGATATATTCTGGGCGTGGCAAGAAAATACATATACATTCCAAAATATTGCTCATGGAATTTCTCATCTACAAGGGGCTATATAAAGGAAGAAAAAGTAAAGCTACAACCGAGAATCACCCCGACAAAAGGACGCGAGTCAGTAAAGAAAGAACCAAGAGTTCAAACTCTTAGAAGTTTACTAGAAAAAGAAAAGTCATAGCTAGGAGTCGCCTCGACTGAGGGACTCGGCCAGAGAAAAAATAAAAGAAACAAGGGCCAGGACCCTTAGACGTTTCTTAGAAAAAGCCGAAGGAGTCACCTCGACTGAGGGACTCGGCAAAAAAAGAAAGAAACAAAGGGCACTGTCTCTTAGACGTTTCATAGAAAAAGTCAAAGGAGTCACCTCGACTGAGGGACTCGACAAGAAAAGAAAGAAACAAAGGGCACTGTCCCCTAGACGTTTCAAAGAAAAAGCCTACAGGGGTTGCCTCGACTAAGAGAATTTGGCAAGAAAAGAAAGAAACGACGGGGCACTGACCCTAAACAGTTTATGAGAAAGAAAAAGCCTAAGGGGTCGCCTAGACTGAGGGACTCGGCGAGAAAAGATAGGAAACAAGGGCCCAGACCCTTAGACGTTTCCGAGAAAAAACCTACAGGAGTCGCCTCGACTGAGGGACTCGGCGAGAAAGTAAAGAAACAATGGGGCACTGACCCTAAATAGTTTCTGAGAAAGAAAAAGCTTAAGGGGTCGCCTCGACTGAGGGACTCGGCGAGAAAAGATAGGAAACAAGGGCCCAGACCCTTAGACGTTTCCGAGAAAAAGCCAACAGGAGTCGCCTCGACTGAGGGACTCGGCGAGAAAGTAAAGAAACGACGGGGCACTGATCCTAAACAGTTTTTGAGAAAGAAAAAGCCTAAGGGGTCGCCTCGACTGAGGGACTCGGCGAGAAAAGATAGGAAACAAGGTCCCAGACCCTTAGACGTTTCCGAGAAAAAGCCTATAGGAGTCGCCTCGACTGAGGGACTCGGCGAGAAAGTAAAGAAACGACGGGGCACTAACCCTAAACAGTTTCTTAGATAGAAAAAGCCTAAAGGGTTGCCTCGACTGAGGGACTCGGCAAGAAAAGAGAAAAGAAACAAGGGTTCAGATCCTTAGACGTTTCTTAGAGAAAAAGAGAAAAGAAACAAGGGTTCCGACCCTTAGACGTTTCTTAGAGAAAAAGAGAAAGGCAACAGGGGTTCTGACCCTTAGATGTTTCTTAGAGAAAAAGACAAAAGAAACAAGGGTTTCGACCCTTAGACGTTTCTTAGAGAAAAAGAGAAAAGAAACAAGGGTTCCGACCCTTAGACATTTCTTAGAGAAAAAGAGAAAAGAAACAAGCTAGGGTTCCGACCCTTAGACGTTTCTTAGAGAAAAAGAGAAAAGAAACAAGGGTTCCGACCCTTAGACGTTTCTTAGAGAAAAAGATAAAAGAAACAGGGGTTTTGACCCTTAGACGTTGCTTAGAGAAAAAGACAAAAGAAACAAGGGTTCTGACCCTTAGACGTTTCTTAGAAAAAGAGAAAAGAAACAAGGGTTCCAACCCTTAGACGTTTCTTAGAGAAAAAAGAAGCTATCACCGAAAGTCGCCTCGACTGAGGGACTCGGCGAATAAAGAAGGAATCGAGGGTCCAAACCCTTAGAAGTTTATTAGAGAAAGAAAAAGTTACAGCCGAGATTCACTTCGACGACTAAAGAAAAAAAGGGGCTCGAAGCCAGAGGGTCGCATCCATTGAAGCAGTCGGTCATATGGCGAACGAAGAGAATTCATGAGGATGGAGTTGTTTGGAATCTTGAATGAAGTGTTGGCAAAAATCGAGGCGGCTAATAAAGGGAATTTTGAGGTGAGACAATATACTTTTCCATGCCCTGCTGAGTGCGAGACATAAAAAAGTGAGGGACTAGTTGATGGGGTGTGAACCCCGTGGGCTCCGGGCCCAAGAAGAAAAGAGATCAAGCCCAAGAAGAAAATGGAGCAAGCCCAAGAATAGATATCGGCCAAACCGAGGGGTCGGTTCGACCCAGGAGTCGGCTCGACCCGGAATGTCGGCACGTGTAGAGGGTCGGCCTAAACTAGCCGTTATTCCTACATTATCACCCATGAAACCTATTTACTACCTTATTATTGCCTGATTATTACCCTACTTACTAACTAGCCGTTAGCCTCTTTATCAACCAACTATGTACCCATAACCCCCTAATTATCACCCATCAATACCCTACTAAATGGTCCAACGGACACTTTTGGGATGAGCTAGCTATAAAAGGGAGAAGAAGAGCACAAGGAGGGGGATTCCACTCATTCATCTACACATGGGAGGACTCTCCCAAGCACTATTCCTACACACTAGAAGACCACATATCACTCTCCCACAACTACTCTCCCAGGAAGGCTTCACTCCACACATGAAGAAGACTCCATCACTCTTCCACACATTAAGAAGACT